CCCATTCACAGACAAACTATCTGAGTTATGTGGAACCTCACTGAGAAACAAAGAAGATTCTTGTTATGCTGAAACAGAGCTCTGGTCTATCACCAAGAGGAACCTCCTCAAACAGTCTGTCCAGGAAGAGCTCGTGTCAGGAAAAAAACAAATAATGGTTAAAAACATAAAGATAAAAGAAAACAGCACAGGAATTATAAAATAATATAGCAAACTAAGAGAGGGAAAGGAACAGAAAAAAAAAGACACAGAATAAAAACTGCTCCCATGAAGCAAATGAAAATTGTGACCATACTGCTATGATTAAGAATAATCTGTATGATGAGGAGATCACCTCTGTATGAGAAGAATTCAGCGTAAAAATACAAGAGCTAAGGGTAGATATGTTGAGACAACAAAAAGTCATAAAATATAAGCTGGCAAAGTTCAGGAAAGAAGTTCAACAATAATAGCAAAAAATGTAAAAAGGAGCCTGGACACTGCTAACCACTCGTTCATGAACAATGTGGGTAAGACTTTTTTTTTTTTTTAATATCACTTTGCTCAGGGAGTTAGAACTGATTAGAAGGGAAGAAATGATGACTTCCCTTTGCTTTTCCTGCCTATTGTACACATCCTAAGTGTCCTGGAGGATGAGAACCAAAACAATGAAACTGAAATACAATACATATTTCAAAATATAAATCAGAAACTTTTGAGAAATTAAAAAGGAAGGGGAAATTGAACCAACTGAATGAGACTTACATTTCAGGAAAAAGAACTGACACAGTATGACCAACTGCAAAACATATACTAACAAAGTAAACAGTATTCAAATATATATTTTTAAAAGGACTGTTGGGTATCAAGGGCAAAAAAAAAAAAATTAGGACTCCCTAAAAGGGAAAATATCAGGCTGGCCTGACACAGTAAGATTCAATAAATTAATAGAGCAAAGGTCTCATGGAAAGCAAATGACACTCATTTTATAGCCTAGAGGGAGAGACAAACATATTTTCAACATTCACGAACTCACCTTTCTTGAAAACTTTACTAAAGGACAAACTGCAGACAACCAAGAAATAGGAAACCTATAGTAAAGGCCCTAGATTTACCTGTAAAACTAAAATCAAAATAAATGCAGGAATGATGGTTCACAGAAGAATGTGAATGCTCTGAATGATTTAATTAACAAAACTGGAGTTGAATACAGGTCATAAGCACAGGCTATTTTTTTCTACCTTTGTTCAGCCATGCTTCATAAAATATTTAAGTCTAACAGAATTATATTTTAAGATAGAAAAGCAAACAAAGAGATAATACAACCATCCAAAACCAGGGGAGGAATTTAAGAGAGAGGGGAGGAAAGAGAAATATGTGGATATCCATAAATTGTATCATTGCGCACAAGAGGAAATCAATAGATATAATCCAAAAATAGAAGATTCTCTGTTAAATTCATAAAGTTAAGTAGCTAGAACAAATATTCAAAATTATCAAAGAAATACAGCATCAGGAAAGCAAGGAAAACACCATATAATGTTTTTTTTAAAGAAGCAATCTTAACTAAAGACTAAGCATATACTGTCAGAACTAAGCCATAGCTTTCATACTGATCAATGCCAAAGGCCAATCTCACCTATGAGAAGGAAAGAACTCATTAGCTACTGCTAGCCGAATGACGCACATCTGTACCTGTCGTATGCACAGTTGTTCATGTGTAACCCACCCCCATGCTTCTACTGTATTTTAAACTTAGCCAAATTCTAGTTGCAAATAATAGCATTTCATCTGTCTTTATTTGATGGTTGATGAAATTCCATGTTTTTCTCAAGAGTATCAGCCTTTTGCATTATTTGGGGCATTGTTATTCCATGCTTCCCATCTCTCTCATGGTTACAAACAAAAATCTTAAAACAGCCTTCAAGGCCCTGTGGGATCTAGTACCCTAGGTCTATCCTGTGGCTATCTCTAAACTCTGTGACAAGGTCTCGTTTACTCCTTCCTTCTCATCTCCCTAATATTAGAGTGCCCTGTGCCCTGGTCTTTGCATTGTTTCTCTTTTCTGTCTGTACTTACTCCCTTGGTGACTTCAATTTTGCAATTCAAAAAAAACACCAATATGCTGACATCCTTCCAACCTATATCCTCAGCCCTGGCCTCCCCACCACCTCTGCTCCAAAAGTCAGTACAGGGCCCAACACACCTGGCTTTATGTCCCCCTCTGACTGCTGACTTCTGCCACCCACTCCTGGTTCGCCACTCACTGAATGAGGCCTTTTCAGGTCATCCTAAATAAAACAACACCTACAGGTACCTAACATTCACATTCCTCATGAGTTTTCAGCCAGAGCATTATCATTACCTGATATATTCTGTAAATAGATAAATAGATGATAGCACAAGATAGAAAGTTGGAGAGCAACATTTACATAGCATTGTTTTGGCACTTTACAGATGTAATTAACAAATAGAATCTGCCCAGCAACCCATGAAGTGAGTACTGTAATTACCCTCTTTTTACAGAGGAGTCAAATGAAGCACAGCTCGAGGTCACCCAACTAAAGTGTAGCCTGCAGAGGTCAGAATAAATGTGGCCATCGGATTTCAAACTTTAGGTTCTCAATCACCACTCTTTACAGTCTTTCATCACATCTACATATGTGTGTATATATATATATATATATATACATATATATACATTTTTCCCATCTCCCAGTAGAATATAAACACCACTTGGGCAGAAACTTTATTGTGTTCACTGTCTTAACCCCAGCTCCTAGAACAAGGGCCTGAAATGTAACAGGCAATCAATAAAACTTTATTGATTAATGGGAACTCTTATCTCTTTAAAACAAAATAAAAATTGATGCTTATAAAAAAAAAACTTCTACTGGCTTCCAGTCTAATAATAATAAAAGATATTTCAGAAGTTAGAAAAAAAACCTGGATGTCTGCCAGCAGAGTTACAGAAAACTTTATGCAATAAAAGGAAAAATGAATTTTAAAAAATCTGAACATTTTAAATTCTAAGTCATGTTTCCCAGAAACGATTCTGCCATGTTCATCATTATATGCAGTATTAGCATTAAGGAAAGGGCAATCAGATTGGTAAATTCATAAATCATCTCTGTGCTTCTATCTTGAAAAACATTAAATAAAGACAAAGAAATAATAAAGCCTCAAACTGGGACCATGGCAATGGGAATGAAATGAAAGGAAACATTTGAGAAATAACTAAGGGTGATAAGAGCAGGAGCTTGGATTCACTGAATTTGGGGACATAGACAAACCTGTAGTTTGCTACCTCGAGTGACCTGGTAGAAGATAGTGCCACCAGTGTGTCAGGTTCAAGGGGGACACGTTGATTTTATTTTAGCTGTGCAACATCCAAGTTGAGATACCAGGATAACTATTAGACATAAAGATCTGCAGTATAGAGCAGAGGTTACAACTCCCTGACTTGAGAGTCATCAGGACATGGAGGTGGTACTTAAGAACACAGGATCTCCCAGACAGTGAGTACTAGATGCAGAGAGAAGCAGGCCAAGGGCCAAAGCTAGAGAAAACCAAGAGTTATGCCTAATACTGTTTATTTTGCATTGTATGTGTTCAGTACATACTCATGATTAAGGAAATAATAGCACCAATGACCTGCCAAGATTTAGGGAAAAAAATTCTGAAGATTCTGGCTTTTACTCAAACTAAGAAATGGGGATTTTCTTGAGCCACAAAGACCTCTCTTTCCCTCCCTTTTTCAAGCTGATTTTTGAGTGGCTGGCTACTTTTCCTGTATTTTACAAGCCCTCAAAAGTCTACACAACTAATTTTTTAAAAGAAGCAACTCCTCCGTCTACAATTTATCAATACAACAAGTGGTCACTGAGCACCCTGCATTTGCAAAGGCTTCTTGTTAGGGCCAAGGATGAGGAGTAAAATGTGGGTATAAAATATTCTCCCTATTCTCAGGGAAATGCAATTTAGAAAGAAGACAAATCCACTAAGATTTAAGTAACAATTCCTAGTAGCCCATGTGCTAAAGGACTGGCAGACAAGAAGAGCTGCAAGGGTTCAGAGGAAGAGAGGCATCCCCAGCTAAGGGGAAGTGGGGCTGAGCTGGACTGGAGACCAGGAGTAGGGCAGAGAAAGTCATTCAGGTGCTTCGGTCTGACCAAACTCCAGAAGATTCCAAAGATCAAAGTTCCTATAGGAAACAGTTTGCAAAGGAATGGACAGCATAAGGGTGGGAAGGCAGAGTGGGGGAAATCAAAGCTGCTGTCAAAGGTCAAATTCAATTTCACACACACACACACACACACACACACACACACACACAGAGTAAGTCACTTGGTGGAACATCACCTTTTACCTTTTGTTTTTCCTCATTTTTGCTCTTCTTTGCATTTCCTTCCAGGGAAACTCAACACCTAACACAAGGCTTCCCTCGCCTGTCTATAAATGTGAATCACACCTAGCTTTCTCTGTGAGTCAGAGATCTTGGGAATGTAGGATTTTGGACTCAGAACATATCAGGGAGTAATCAGCGCTGGAAAGGGAGGGCAAAATTTAGTGAGTTCTAGATTGTTCTAGAAAGAAAATCCTAGAGATGCTTCAGTTCTTGGGGATTCTCATTCCCAAGTTAGACAGGTCACTTTGGACAGAAACGGAATGGAGCTTTGATAAACTACTTAAAGTCAGATCCCATGGGAGATGTGGCTCTAAGTAACCTCCAAACCCTAGACCACATCCTAGTCATTTCCAGACCCATTTTGGTATAATAAAATGGCAATCCAACTGAGGATTCAGTGGGCCACTGAAGTCCTCTGTACGTGAGACTGACCCATAACGCCTTTATCTTTCACCAGAAGTCTTGGATCCCCCCAGAGAACGGGTCACCAGAGCAGCAAAGGAGGGACCACACCCCAGCTCCACATCTTCACAACAGCATGAAAGCCGCCTTCATTTTCCTGACATCACCTGAGCATCCCCTCTCTACCACTGACTGCATTTTCTGGACTCACCTGAATGAAGATATATTCATCCTGAACAACCAGGGAACTGATGTCAATGGAACGGGCAAAAGGCCCACTGCGAGTGGTCTCGGCACATTCCTGGATCCTGCAGGTGAGGTAGTGAGCATCTGAAATGGGAGAGTGGCACTTAGACACAAGGGCAAATATGGTGACAAAGCTCTCATCAGTACCCAAGGCTCTACCTCATGGGAAATCAATGATGCAGTTTAAAACAAGATTTCATTCACGTTCACAAGAGTTGTAATAATTTAAAAAATGGCAATATCTAGATGAGGCAAGGGAGTGGGGAAAGAGTTAATCTTACATCCTACTGGCAAAAGGGTAAACTGGTGTAGCTTTTTGGAAGAACAAATTGGAAATATCTATCAGAATTTTAAATGCGCATATCTTACACCAGCAATTCTAATGCAAGCGATGTCTTCTAGAGAAATACTCATATATTTTCCCAAAGAGTCAAGGGCAAAGATGCTCATTGTGGCATTGTTCACAGCAGTGAAAAATCAGAAACAGGCTAAATGTCCCTGAACATTTCAATAAACCAAGGTGCACATATTACAGAGGGCTAGCTGCAATTAAAAGAATTGAGTAGATAGAGAAACATTCACATGCTGATTTCTCTAAGGTCCCTGTTCCTTTCCAAATAACCTTTGACAAAGTATTTGCCAATATGATAGCATGATATAATTCAAGTCCCCAAAAGCTTTGTCTTTATAAATGTATAGGTTTGTGCCACAGTGCAGAGAAAAAAAAGTGTTTTTTTAAGATTTTACTTATTTACTTACTTACTTATTTATTTACTTATTTATCTATTTATTTGAAAGAGAGAGAGAGCAGGGGAAAGGCAGAGGGAGAGGGAGAGAATCTCAAGCAGACTCCACGCTGAGCATGGAGCCCAACTTGGGGCTCAATCCCACAACCCCAAGATCATGATCTGAGCTAAAATCAAGAGTCAGACGCCTAACCGACTGAGTTACCCAGGTGCCCCTGTGCATAGAAAAAAGTTTTAAAGGAACCCATAAAACATTAGCTATGATTACTTGTGGAGGAAAAGAATGGACTTGAGGAGGTAGTATTGAAGTGGGACCTTTGCTTTTTATATTATATACATCTTTATTATTTTTACAATTAGAATGTATTCACCTATTACTTGTATAAAATCTATAAAACTTGTACAATTACTTGTCAGATCTTCTGAAGATCTCAGCAGGTGAACAGCTCCTCAAGCAACCCAGGACCATGATGGCAGAAGCTGTAGCTGAATAGGAAAAATCTTTGACTATAAAATGCATTCTCATTCTGATCATAGGTCATCCAAGAAAGACAATCCACTCAGTTATTTGCTCCTTAAGGAAAAACTACAGGTAAGTCTCTGTGAAGAAACCTCTATGTACACTGGCTTTTAAAATGGTTTTTATTGGGGCATGTGGGTGGCTCAGTTGGTTAAGCGTCTGCCTTTGGCTCAGGTCATGATCCCGGGGTCCTGGGATCAAGCCCCGCATCGGGCTCTCTGCTCATCGGGGAGTCTGCTTCTCTCTCTCCCTGCCCTCCACCCCTGTTCTCTCTCATAATTTCTCTCTCTCAAATAAAAATCTTTTAAAAATTAAAAATAAAATAAAATGGTTTTAATTGAACAGTATTTAAAAATAGTAAGTGGCCAAAATGAAAAGTTAGGAATCATTTTATTATTTTATTTTTTTATTTGAGAGAGTGAGCATGAGAGAGAGCAAGAGAGAGTACATGAGAGGGGGGAGGGTTAGAGGGAGAAGCAGACTCCTCGCTGAGCAGGGAGCCCGATGTGGGACTCGATCCAGGGACTCCAGGATCATGACCTGAGCCGAAGGCAGTTGCTTAACCAACTGAGCCACCCAGGGCGCCCCAGGAATCATTTTAGTATTAAAAGCAGAGAAGTCTCTGTTATCACCTAAAACCACGTTCATCACTATATGCATCTCATGTGATTGTTCCTTGGAATGTGCGCCCAGGTGTGCACAGGTGTCATGGGCAGCTCGCAGGTGGCAGAGATAAAGGCAAAAGGCTTAACTAAGCAAAAATTTATAACAATTGAGTTTAAACCACGAGTACTTTAAATTATCCCCTTTTATCTTTAATTAATTAATTTACTGGTGGCTTCACCGAGCCTTTCTTGTGCACACACAACGTACCGGGGATTGCTCAGGTGCTAGGAATACAGCAGAGAGCAAGAGAAGTGTACCCGCTGACTAGGAGAGGGCTGATCACATTATCTGTAGCCAGCTATTACACACATTTATTTATACACATGAGGCTAATTTAACAAAGAAACATATTTGGGTAAGAAATGAATTCATTATGGGCTATATTCCAACTTCCTGAGTGTCCAGAGCTGAACACAGTCTATTGTTGTTGGTATTCTTACTCAGAACACATCAAACATCCACTTCCTTCTCTCCATTAGCGGTTGCTGGCGTCATCATCTGCCCACGAGTGCAAGCCTCTTCCCTTTTCTTTCCTCCACGTGCCATATAATCCAGGTGGTTCCTAGCCCTGATAATTCTGCCCCTGAAGTGCTTCCAGAGTCTCTCCCCTTCTCTCCACAAGCCCTGCTGCCTGCCTGGGGCGAGGCCTTCTCACCCGCGTGGCCTACTGCGTCTATCTCATGACTCGCCTGCACACGCGTGATGGACTGGAAACTGCACGGGCCCGAGGCAAGGAACAGAGTCATCTCTAAACCCCAAACCTGGGCTCATCTCTCCTGGCTTTCAAACAGCTCTGAGGGTCCTGGGATAAAGCCCAAACTTCTTTCTATAGAATGGAAGGCTTTTTACAAGAAGCCTAATAAAATCAAATGCCTAAGGAGCCAGACAAATCATGTGTAGGAGTAAAATGAGCTGGATGAATATGACAAATGGCAGCTGGTGCACAGCCTCAGTGTCAGGGATGACTGAGGAGTGCTGGGGACTGCAACAAAATCGCCAACACTGAACTCTTCAAGGAGAAGCTGCTCCTCAGTGTCCATTCGTTGACAGGCAGGAATAAGACGTTCTGTGTTTTATAAATCTAACTGTCCCTATTTTTTTAAGGTGAAGTTGCCTGATTTTTAAAAAAATGGACAGCTAGGGGCGCCTGGGTGGCTCAGTTGGTTAAGTGTCTGACTCTTGATTTGGGCTCAGGTTGTGATCTCAGGGTCGTGGGATCAAACCCCATATCGTGCTCAGCGCGGAGTTGGCTTGTCCCTCTCCCTCTGCCCCTCCCTGGGTCATGTGCATGCTCTCTCTCTCTCTCTCTCTCAAACAAATAAATAACATCTTTAAAAAATGGACGGCTGGGCGCCTGGGTGGCTCAGTTGGTTAAAAAATGGACGGCTATTTTAAATTTAAAACAGGGTGCAGGCCAAACACTGTATAGCCAAACAAAACAAGCCTACATCCAAATACCCCCAGGAGCTGCTCATTCCCTATCTCTATTCTGTAATTTGGTTCCTACCTACCTCTCCAGAGAAGAGACAGACCCTCTTCCCCCTCTTCCCTGACCCATTAGCAAGACAAGATTGTTTGCCATTCTGTAAGTACAGCCTGCGCATGCTTTCCTCTTTGTCTCTGTTCGCAGAGAGAGCCAGGAGTGGCCTAGCTCTCCACTTCTGGCTGAGAGGGCGAGGGAAGGCAAGGAGCCCAGGCTGGGCCAGGCAGCCCATGGCCTGCCCACCAGGAATACTCTTGGACCCACAAAGCCTTAGCAATTTTCTCCTAGAATAAGGCACTAAAACCCAGCAAAAAGCTGTAGTAAACACATAGGAAGAAACCACAAGTGTTGACATGACAACCTGCTTCCTTCTTGCCAGCCAGGGTCTCCGAAAGCTCCTTACACTGTGAATCAAAGGTACACACAGGAGGACATCTGCTTGTACTGCCTCTCCCCCCACCCCCCGGGCTCATTTTCCCCTATTTACTATTCACTCTCACATTTGGACACTTTGAAAAAAAAAAAAAAAAGAACCGAGAGTATTCAAGCCCTCCCCAAACAAAATCAAAACCTTCCGAAATCCTGGCCCACAGCAGGTGAGCTATTGCGCCAAACTCATCCTACTTGGCTCTCCCATGCTTGCTACTGCCCAGCATGGAACGAAAGGTCCAATTTAACAGGAAGGTAGCTCTAAAATGAATTTTTCAAATCCACTTAAAATTCAGGGGCCTTGCAGTCTTTAGCTGGACTCGTACATTAGAAATCTCAATGTTTTTATTTTTCAAAACACAGAGACATGATAGTAAGCACTATGGCACCCAATGTCTGGTGAGAACCCAGAATGGGGGGAACGGGGAGAGTAAATTATCAGGTAGGCCTGGCCAACAGATGGAAGTGCCTGAGGGTGACAAGGGACTCTGGGTGTCAAAGGTGAGCAGGGGACACCAAGAACCTCACATTTGTGAAAGTTCTCAAATTCAGACTTTGGACATTATCCTAAAATGAGGCCAGATACAGTCATGGAAATTCAAAGATGAAACTGAAAGATATTTGTCATTTAACTTGAATCCCAAACTAGGCTTCTAACACATGTGGCCTTTTCATTAGCTTTTAATAAAAACTCCAGATGCCTGATAAAATGGCAGAAGGTCAGATCTCTTGAGCGCAGCATGGTGTTTGAAAGTGAGGCCTCTGAAGCTAGAATGGGCTGAGTTCAAATCCTGAACCTGCTATTTGCTGATCACCCTTGACTAAGTAGCACAGCTCTTCATCTGGGAGATGCCTGTAAGTCAGCATTTGCCTCCAAGGACTGTCATCAGGATTAGATAAGATCATGTATGAAAATGCTTAACACATTGTTGGATCCATTTTAAAAGATTAATAAACTTTATCTCTTTGTTGTTATGAAAATAGAAAGAAATTTAACACTCAGCCTCTCTCATATCTTCAAATAATAACACTTAATGTTCTGTTTGACTGTGGAGAATCAAAAGGCCGTATTACAGGTTCTCTTAGTAGTCATATTCCAAAATTATATCACTGTCTAATTCCTTAAAGTACTTTGGGTGTGCAGACAAGAAAAAGACAAAAACAAAAACGTGTCTGAGCTCGAATAACCAAGAAGGACTTAAAGGAGGAGGCAGCCTTTGTGTTCAGCTAAGATGGAGAA